AAATGATAAAAATAAATTATCCTGTATATAAAAATGTTAATCAAGCATTTGAAAAAAATTTGAACAAGTATTTTAAAAATGTTAATCAAGCATTTGATAAATGTTAAATGTGTATAGAAAAAATGTTAACCATCTATTAAAAATGATGAAAAAATAGATCATGTATATAAAAATGTTAATCAAACATTTAGAAAATACAAGTGTTTTAAAGTGTTAATTGGGTATAAAAAATATTGACCATGTATTCAGAAGAATGTTAATATTTTATTTGAAAACTGTTAATCAAGCATTTATTTATTTTAAATGTATAATAAAAAATGTGAACCATGTATCAATAAATGGTAATATTGTACCTAAAAATGTTAATTAAGCATTTGAAAACTATTTAAAATGTGTATAGAAAAAATGTTGACCATGTATTACAAAACAATATGTATTCAAAAATGTTAGACGTGTATTAGATAAATGTTGTTGACATATAAGAACAAACAAAACCTAAAAAAGAAACAAAATAAGTAAATAAAAAAACAAAGAAACAAAATGTAAAAAAGAATGAAAATTGGAGAAGAAAAATCCGAAGAAAGCCAGCTCGCCTCAAGTAGGACGCACTCTTGGTAGTTACCACGAACAGGACTTGGCGTAGTGGCTAGCAGCGAAATCATTAATTAAGGAGTACTCCTTTCAAAGATCACTCACACCTCTTTAGGTTGCGCAACCTGAAGTTTTTCCTTTTTTCATACATTCGTTTATTCAAAATGTTTTATCTCTTAAACTGTGCGTTCAAATCTCAAAACATTTTGACATTGAATTCCTCGCATCGAGATATTCAAAACTAGATTCCATGTTGATAGGTTTTGTTGAATTTTTTTACACGAAAAAAACCAGACGAAAAAATCGAAACCGGGAGCGCGTTTTTCCCTTTCCGAGAGAGGCACGACCGTGCCTCTCACAGAAGAAAAATTGTGCCTCTCGCGGCAGGGAAAAACAGAAATCATGGATTTTATTCGTATCCGAGAAGCACAACCATGCCTCTCGTTAAAGCACAATCGTTTCTTTCGCAGAAGTAAAACGTGTCTCTTGTGGAAGAAAAAAACAGAGAACGCACTTTTTTCCGTCTCCGAGAGGCACGGCCGGGCCTCTAGCAGAAGCAAAATCATGCCTCTAGCGGAAGGGGAGAAACAGAAAACAGTTTCTTTTTTCATGAAAAAAACATGTTTTTTCGCGCGGTCCAAAAGCTAAGGAAGACCAGTGGAAAACCAAAAAAAAAATACCATTTAAAAATGCGAAAGCACATGCGAAAAGAAAAACAAAATGCGAAGGAAGCGCCCAGAGCGCGACACATGACTGCGGCTATCGCCTCTCTTAATGCGAGCCATTGCGCTCGCATGTCACGTGCCCACCCGCCCCCGCGGCGTTCCCGCTACATACACTTGGGCCGGCCCAACTAGCTCTCGGTTCTTGGTTTGGGAAGGTTAGATCTGTTTGTTTTTTTGCGTTTCTTTTGATCTTTTTTGTTTTTTTCATTTTTATGTTCAACATCGGAGAACATTTTTTCAAAATATGGAACAATTTTTGAATTTGTAAACGTCTCTAAAATCTGAAAGTATTTCTTGAATTTTGTTAACTTTTTTGGAATTTTGGAAATAATTTTTAAAATTCGTGAAGAAAATTAACTTCCAAACGTTTGTGAACATCTTCTTAATTCATGACGACTTTTTAAAATTCATGGACATCTTCTAAAGTCCGTGATTTTTTTATTGAAAACTTGGAACATTTTCTACTTCATGGACTTCTTTTAATTTGGAATATTTTTAAAATTCAGGAATATTTTAAAAATGTATGATTTTTAAGTTGGAACATCATTAGAATTTAAATCATTATTCAAATTAATGAAGGTTTTTTAAAATCCCAATTTTTCTAAAGACACATATAAAGGAAAACAAAAAAAGGGTCGCACTACCTTGGCATCGGCCCAAAAAGCGTGCGTGGCAACAAGGGGGTGTCCTGTGTCGCCCTACACGGGGAAGAGGAAGTCCGGTGGACGCTGGGGTAGTGTCCGCACAAATACTATCAACCAT